AGATTATTCCGGGCAGGGTACTATTGGTTGACCATGGAGCGAGATTGCTTGATTTGTACGCAGGTGCCATCAGTGCCAAATTCATAGCGACTTGATTCACTCACCCCCTTTAGAGTTGCACCCTATGTCTGCTCCGTGGCCTTTTGTGGCTTGGGGAATGGACGTTATTGGGCCGATTGAGCCGAAAGCATCTAATGGGCATCGGTTTATTTTAGTTGCCATCGACTACTTTACCAAATGGGTGGAAGCTGTCACATTCAAATCAGTCACCAAGAAAGCAGTGGTGGACTTTGTTCATTCAAACATCATATGTCGTTTCGGCATACCAAAAATCATTATTACAGACAATGCAGCGAATCTCAACAGCCACCTGATGAAGGAAGTTTGTGAGCAATTTAAAATTGTTCATCGTCATTCAACCCCTTATCGACCCAAAGCAAATGGGGCTGTTGAAGCGGCAAATAAAAACATCAAGAAGATTCTTAGGAGAATGGTGCAAGGATCTAGACAGTGGCATGAAAAACTACCATTTGCTCTCTTGGGATACCGCACGACTATTCGTACGTCAGTCGGTGCAACTCCTTACTTATTGGTTTACGGAACTGAGGCTGTCATACCCGCAGAAGTTGAAATCCCTTCTCTTCGAATCATTGTCGAAGCAGAAATTGAGGACACGGAATGGGTTAAATCAAGGTTAGAACAATTAGCACTGATAGACGAAAAAGGTTGACATCAATTTGCTTTGGTCAATTATATCAGCAGAGGATGGCTCGAGCTTTAAAAGAAGGTACGCCAAGAAATTTTGAAGTCGGTCAACTTGTTGTGAAACGCATCCTTCCCATCAAGACGAGGCCAAAGGAAAGTTTGCCCAAATTGGCAAGGCCCTTATGTTATTAAACAAGTGCTATCAAAAGGAGCTTGCAACTGGCAATATGGAGGAAAAGGCATCGACACAATTGTTAACGCAGATTCGATCAAAAGATACTACGTTTAACACTCTCATGATTGACATTCTCAAGATGAGAGGATAAAAATGTATCCTCCTTTATTTCAAACACCACTTGTCTGGTGCAAAAAAAAAAAAAGAAAAAAAAAAAAAGTTTTATTGAACTACGTTCGACCTGATTCCTAAGAGGATACGTAGGCAGCCCTTCATTGGGGTTCGGTCTAATCACTAAATAAAACAATAATCATGTTCTTCAATTCTCCAAAGGCTGAGACATGACATTGTGACCTACGGTGTGTTACAAATAAAAAAAAAATGAGATAGTCTTATGAGTGAAAATCCTCACGGGCACCATAAGACGATAGTAAGTTGAGAGAAAGAGATAAGAATGTCTTATTGGTGGAAAACCATGAAGGACACCATTGATCAAATGATGACAATTCCGTCTTGGCAAGAGCACACAATCAAGATAGAAGTCAGGCTATAGACTTAAAGGTACAACATTGTTCATAAGATTCGGACAACTTAGAAGGATCAAACGTTCAGTCCAAATGCATGTCATGATTCATTAAGGTGGTCACGTACTTTCAGATAAAATTCTTTTCATTCCTTTTAAACATTTACTTATTTCCTTCTTCTAAAGACATAGCTTTTCTTTCATAACCCTTTCATTTGTGTCATTTGTACTTGTCTTCGATATTCTTTGAGTTGCATTCAGCATAAACTCGCATCAAGTGAGAAAATCAAATTAAAGTAGCGAAATTGACTACGGTATTTCCAGTTGAATGTTGGGGCATGCACAACATGACTAGGGCTGTGAACCGATCGAAAAAAAAATTCAAAAAATCGATACCGTGTGAAAATGGGTAAAGCAAGAAAGTTGTTTTGGAAAGGATGAACCCCACAACGTGCACAAGATAGAAAATGGGTCAAAATGTTCATAAGAAGTGTTTCAAGGGAAGATAAGGACCGTCTATAAAGCATCTTCAAGTTATTCGTGCGATCGTCAATATGATGATTCTTTCAACCAACACAGATTCAAAGTCAAACCTCCACAAGATATTCGAAGTCACAAACCAACCACCGTTTAGAAAAACTAACAAAAATGTTCTTTGTTTTAAAATAGGTACAAAGAAAAATCGTGCAAGTAATTCGCGAGAGTCAAACGCCACCAGGTAAGTTCTTGAATCTCTGTCTCTCCTACAATATGCACCACAATAATAATGATAACAATAAAAAAAAAAATATTTTTTCTTAATAAAATCTGGGGCATTTTATTTTTGTTTGTTTCTTTTATGTTTGGAAAATGTACAAAAATAAAAAATAAAATAAAATAAATGATCTTAAGTATAATAATAATAATAATAATGTAAGTAAAAAAAAAAAACATATATATATAACCCCTATTTTTATTTTTTTCATGTCTTTACAGGGCACAATAACCCCTGGTTGCATATAGGACACAATAATTCCTTTTTTTTTTTTTTTTATGTCTTCACAGGGTACAATAATCCCTGGTTGCATACAGGGCACACTAACCCCTATTTTATTTTTTTCATGTCTTCACAGGGCACCAATAACCCCTGGTTGCATATAGGGCACAATAACCCCTATTTATTTTTCATGTCTTCACAGGGCACAATAACCCCTGGTTGCATATAGAGAACAATAACCCATATTTTATTTTATTTTATTTTAATGACTTCACAGGGCACAATAACCCCTGGTGGCATATAGGGCACAATAGCCCCTATCTTATTTTTCATGTCTTTATAGGGCACAATGACCCCTGGTTGCATATAGGGGCACAATAACCCCTATTTTATTTTTCATGTCTTCACAGGGTACAATAATCCCTGGTTGCATATAGAGCACAATAACCCCTATTTTATTTTTTTCATGTCTTCACAGGGTACAATAACCCCTGGTTGCATATAGGGCACAATAACCCCTATTTTATTTTTCATGTCTTCACAGGGTACAATAATCCCTGGTTGCATATATAGCACAATAACCCCTATTTTATTTTTTTCATGTCTTCACAGGGTACAATAACCCCTGGTTGCATATAGAGCACAATAACCCCTATTTTATTTTTCATGTCTTCACAGGGCACAATAACTCCTGGTTGCATATAGGGAACAATAACCCCTATTTTTTTTTCATGACTTCACAGGGCACAATAACCCCTGGTGGCATATAGGGCACAATAGCTCCTATCTTATTTTTTCATGTCTTTACAGGGCTCAATAATCCCTGGTTGCGTGTATGGCACAATAACCCTATCTTATTTTTTTATGACTTCACATGGCGTACTAACCTCTGGTTATATTGGGCACAAATCTCCTTTATTTTATTTTATAAAAGTATATTATTATTATGCCTAGTATAAACTTTCATAGCTTTCATCAATAACTCACAAAATTTTCCTAGTGCATACTGGGGCAGAAATTTTGTTTCGTTTGTTTGTTTTATTTTATGGCGTGCAGGTTTCTACATAGTATACCAATTTGAAGTTCAAGAATAAAAATCCTCGTTTTGATTAGAGAAACGAAGAATGTCAGATGTCAATGACATTTAGAGTCGCTTTCAACCCATGTAACGGCTCAACATATCATGAATCATCTTCTCGAGAAAACAAGCATTCAAGAATAACATGCGGAAGAGCGTCAACGACTCAAGTCAAATCATAAGTTTCAGATCATAAATTCAAATATCAAGATGAAAGTTCGGAATCGATGTACCTACCCAAAGAGGGTGAAGCGATAATCGAAGATTCAAAATGAAGACTCAGTACTAGTGAAATAGATATGATCTTGTATCTTTTCCTTCTCTCCTATTGTATTTTTCCTTCTAATGTAACAGCTGGAGCTACGAACCGGAACCTCGACAAAACCTCATTCGACTACCTAAAATTATTCTCCCGTCCCTTCCTATATATTAACTACACCTGATTCCTTATCATTAACTCATGATAGGTAGTTTGTCTAAAGTTAGGGCGTGGTCAAACCTCTTCTCTTTTATTTATTTTCACATTTTTGGATCAATGTCTCAGTAAAAAATTAGTCACATTGTTCATGTCTTTGCATGAAAACTCTTCATGTTTTTCCAAGCAAAGAGGGGCATACTGTGAACACCTAATTTTTGACCAAAACATAAAGATTCTACACCCAATTTTAATATTTCAGCAGGGTTATATTTAAATAAATGAAAAATAAATAACTGAAAATTACAACAAATTATAAGCTTACTTTATATTTAAAGTTTAATAAAGAAAGCTTTGAATTTAACGTATTTTGTTTTACCCTTTCAACTTTTATCTAGTCTAAAAAAATAATAATAGTCGTATATATCATGGAAAAGTAAAAAAAATAAAAATAATAAAAGATAAAAAGAAGAGTCCTAAAAAATTCAAATTACCTTACCTTTATCCTAATTACCCCCAACTTCCTTAACTTATTTGCTAAAAATCCTCCTCCCATTTAGTTTATTTTATTTTTTATTTTTATTATTTTTTTCTTTCTTCTATTTTTTTTTTCTCCTCTTGCACGATCTTTTCTCTTTTTATTTTTTACACGTTTCTTTTTCTTTTCTTTCTTTTCTGTTCGTTCTTTCTTTATTTTATTTTATTTTATTTTTATTTTTATTATTTGTTTGTTAATATTATATTACTATTTTCTTCCTTTATCTCAATCCTAAAATTCTCAACTAAATTTTAAATTAAATCCTATTCACACTCCATCACGTTCCTTTTAATTAGCACCAGACTCACACCCCAAACTATTATAAACACATACACATACACAGAGAAAAAAAAATCACAGAGAGAAAAAGATAACAAAAAGTGAGTTTTATTTTGAAAATTAAGTCAGCGTTCAAGGTTTCACTCAAGGTTCACTCAAGGTTTCGGATTCGTGGCTCTTTAAAGTTAATATTAGCTATTAACTTTGGAAATCAGTAGATCGTAGCAGTTGTTTTTTGTGGTATTAATTTTCGCAGCGAGGTAACTCTAAATTCTCGCATAATGTAGTTGGAATGCTCGTACGAAATTTGATTCCAATAATATGAAGTTTTCTGAGTCGCATGTTATTATTATCTACCATTGTTTGTGATGAATTTATGAATTCTTAGAAAAACGTAACCGTTTACGTTTCTCGCTTTAGAATAATATAAAAATAAAAATAAAAGATGTATCATACATTTTTTTTAATTATTATTTTATGCTCTTTAGATGTAATTAATATTGAAATTGGTTTCGTGATATTTAATTTTGAATAGCTAATGTTTCTTGGATCTTAGTTTTCACTTAAGAATTTTTTTTGTTGAAATTATTTGAAGACTTGTTAGATTAGGATATAAATTAGTGCTTTAGAAAACCTATGAGGAATGTGTTTTAGTCTGCTTTTTTTTTAATATATTATTTTTGATTAAAAAATAATTTGTCTTTATAATAAGTGTTAAGATGATTATCGTTTAAATTCGAATTATAATTAAGAGGATATATGAATATTATTTAGAGATTTATGGTAAAAAATAATAATGAATAATTAGGAAAACTAAATTAAATAAATAAATAAAAAAGGCGAGAAAGCATAAAAAAATTAAAAACGTGAATATAAAGGAATAATAAAAAAAATGATAAAGAAAGAAGAGAAAATAAGAAGTAAAGAAACAAAAAAAAAAAAAATAAGAAACAGAATGTCAAACAAAAAAAAAGGTGAAAAAAAAATAAAAAAATAAGAAGAGACAGAATGAAAAAATATTAATAATAAAAATATAAATTA